TCTGAATTGTCTGTCTGTATCCTCCACAGTAGCTATAGGGAGCTGTGGACTCAAACATGTGATCCAATTTGCCCGAGTGCTCACTAGGTTGCCTTTACTTCTTTGGGCTTTATTTTCCACATAAAAGGGGCTGAACTTATTTTAGTCATATTTGTGCTGATAGTCACTGTACACTCTCTTATCCTCTTCATCATCCCATTTAGGTTGGAAGAATGTACCACTCTTGAAAGCTTACCATGGGCTAGGCATTGTACATGTCATGCTTAAATATGCCATACATATGTGTGTGTTTAAAATTTAATTCCTGCTCCTTATGTGATAGAGGCTATTATCTCCGTTTTATTTTATAGATAGTGAAACCAGGCATACAGTGGCCTGAAGTGACTTGCCCAGGGCTTCATAGGTATTAACTCAGATTTGTTCTCAGTTTTGTGAACTGACATCCAAAGCCTCTGAGCTCTTTCACTAGGCTTACTTACCTTTACATCCCTTGTATTTAGTAGCTTCTTGATAGATACATTTTTTAAAATTTCTTACATACATGACAATAGTGGAATGCATTACATTCATAATTATCCATTCATAGCACAATTTTTTCGAAACTCTGTATATAAAAAAAGAGGTAGATATATTTAAAAACATATTTATTTTTTAGGTGTAGTTGGACACAATGCCTTTATTTATCTAACCCAGGGCCTTGCATGTGCTAGGAGAGTGCTCTACCACTGAGCTACAATCTCAGCCCCTAGACACATATTTTTTCTAATATTTTATCACAAAGATCTGCAAACATTTAGAAAAGTTAAAAGAATTTTACAGTCAACACCTCCCTACCTCATAAATTCAACAATTGGCATTTTCCCATCCTTGCTTACCATATTTTTATCCCTTGATTGATCTACCAAGCTGTCTTAAATTTTTGACATATCTCAAAGTAAATTGCAGCCATTGGTATACCCTACTCCACATCTTTTAGCCTATGTATCATTAACTGGAGTTCAATATTTGTTTACATTTTTTTTTCTTTTGAGTAAATACTTATGTTCAATAAAATACACAAATCTAACATACACTATTTGATGACAGTTGACAAATATATAGATCTGTCATCTCAAGTCCCTACGCACATTCAGGACATGAACATCACTTTAGGAGTTCCCTCATGCCCTTTTTCATACATTCTCCCATTCCCCCAACCCCAGGATAATCATTGCTTTGATTTTTTTTTAACTATAGGTTAATTTTGCCTGTATTAGAGCTTTATATAAATAGAATCATACCAATATGCATTGTCAACAGCTTCTTCCCCACTTGCTTCAGATAATGTTTTTGAGATTTGTCCCTGTTATTGTGCTTATCAGCAGTTGTTTCCTTTTTGTTGCTAAGTAGCATTCCATTTTGCGTCAACATGTAAATTATTTATCCATTTTTGTGGATAGACAGGTAGATGCATGTTTGAATTGAACAGTCCTTGCCTTCAAGATGCTCACAGTTTCAAAGTGATAAAGCAGCTGAGTTGACAGATTGTATTTTGTTTTGGAAATAGAAGGGTCAAGATAATTTTGGCAGATACCTGAATTTACATACTTACCTTTCCTCCACTTAAAGTTAGGAAAGGCTGGGGCTGGGGTAGTGGCTCAGTGGTAGAGTGCTTGCCTAGCATGCATGAGGCACTGGGTTCCATCCTCAACAACGCATAAATAAATAAAATAAAGGTATTGTGCCCATCTACAACTTAAAAAAAAAAAAGTTAGGAAAAGCTTCCTGGAGTGAACTATTAAGTTTCCTTCACCTGCGTGAAGTGAGAAGGTGGGAGAGGAAGAAGAGGTGGATAGAAAATATAGTCTGGAATGGGGATCGGGTAGATGTTGGTTTCAGAGCTGCTGAAGGCCTTGGGCCCATGGACAGATGATGTTGACAAATTCAAGATCTACAAGAAGATGGTGGAGCCCAGCTCTCTAGTGAAATGAGGGCTGAGGAGCATGGGTACAGCAAATCTGATCTTGGAAGAGAAACCTGCAGGCAGTCAGATAGCTCCAGATGTGTGGCTCAGGAATAAACAGTCCATACCCAAGCCTGGCAAAAAGGGGAATGGCAGTGGGGAAGAGGTGCCTTTGTGAGCTGTGCAGGTAACAATGGCTGGATAGGGATGGTGAGTAAGGTCTGACATGTTTCAATCTCTGAAGCCCTGAGGGTTAGGATGACAGGGGTGACTTTGACAGAAAGTTAATAACTAACCTATGTCCACAAGGGACTTGGATAGTTGGAATTTTAGAGCTGGAAGAGGCCTAGATCATCTAGTTCAACCTTGAGCAAAGTGACAAGCCCAAGGTCCCCCCAACTGTGATTTCTTGGCAGATTCAGGCCTAGATATCAGATCTCCTCAAATTTCCAGCCAGCACCATTCCCTATCCTGCTGCTATGACTGACGCTCTGTTTTTCCTGCCTGCTGCAATGACATGAGGGGCAAGTTTTTGCTGAGACAGGAATTTACATGAACTTTCTTCTAAGGGACTTTTCTGGCTCAAAGACTCTAGAATTCTGGGGGCTGTTTTCCGTTGAGAGTGCCCAGCTACCTAACCTCCAGCCAAGAGCCAGAATTAGGTAAGGTTTGTAGAGTATCAGTGGCTTGTTGAGATAGAGTACTATAGGCAGGTAGGTTCTTTGTGATTGGGCTAAGGCTAAAATACTCTTGTTAGTCCCCAAGGATTTTTTTTTCTTCCTTCATATCCCCCACAGGTACCCCTGGAGCCATCTTCTAGACCAGTCAAGATGGTGTGGGTAGAGACCTGCCAAAGATCCCTTGTCTTGGTATATGATAGGTCTATGCTACATTTCTATCAACATTCAGAAGAGAGACTCCTCCGTCAAAAGTAGAGCCCTGAAGGGGTTAGGGTTTGGGCTCAGCAGTAGTGCACTTGCCTGCCGTATATGAGGCACTGGGTTTGATTCTCAGCATATAAATTTGATTCTTAGTATATAAATAAATAAAATAAAGGTCTATCAACAACTTTAAAAATATTAAAAAAAAAAAAAAAAAAAAAAAAGTAAATCCCTGAAGAAAGGATGCTGGTTGTCAGGCACTCCCTGGCTCCCACCAAGTCCAGACCCAGCTGGTCAATACTGCTCCTGGCTATATGCCTTTTGGACTTTAGATTTTCTGTCTTCCAAATCCCAGTGTTCACCAAGCATTTAGAACTAACAAGTCCAGAGGGAACTTTGTTTTACTAAGTTGAAACTGAGGTCAGAGAGAGAGAGAAGAGGCTCTTGCTATGCCCACAAGGAGCTAGTGACCTGGTCAGATTTCCTACCTCTTTGGACATGCTCTACAGCTAAAGATTTCTCCAGAATTGCACTGTCAAATCTAAGAGCTGCAAGCCCAAGGAAGTTGTTGAATACTTGAAATGTGGTTCGTCTGAATTGAAATATGCTTTAAGTATAAAATACACAGTGAGTTTCAAAGACTTAATATGGAAAATAGAATTTAAAAAGCTGTCAATATTTTATATAACTTACATGTTGAGATGTCACTATTTTGGATATATTGTATTAAACAGAATATATTATTAAAGTTAATTTAACTTTTTTTTTAGTATACATAACTGGCCTATGTTACCCAGACTGGCCTTGAACTCACAATCTTCCTGCTTCAGCCTCCCAAGTAGCTAGAATTATAGTCATGTACCACCATGTCTGGATTTACCTGTTTATTTTTTATCTTTTTAATGTGGCTACTAGGAGATTTTAAAATTATATATATTATTTGAATTGTCTTGTGGACAGCGTTGCTCTAGACTGAAGATGTGTTGGTCTGCTAGGAACCACAGGGGTCAGGGTGTTGTGCAGAGAGGTAACAATTAGCCAGTGCTAACTGGGGGCCTTAGGAGTTTCTGGAGGGAAGACCCTCTTAGTGGAATGGGTATCCTGGAGGCCCAGCTTGGTTGTGGGGATGGCTACGCAGAGAGAAAATACCTGTCCAGGGCCCGGTAAGAGGCCATTGCTGGAAGGGTAAGTTCATAGATCCTCTGTCTGGAACTCAGAGGGGGAAGCTTTCATGGAGAGAGAAAAAATTACAGTTAATTTCTACTTAGATGACATGGCCTATTTCTACTTCTTGTTCCTTGCTGAACAAGAAAGGCTCTCTCAATTCTACCCCCACCAGGTTTTTCTCAGTTCTACCCCCAAAGAGGTGCACGTGAGAGTGAGGGTAGGTTGATGCCTTCAGTATACACATCCTGGAGCTGGGGTTTTCTCTCAGGCGGCCACAACTTTCTTCCTGAAGCTATATTTAGGTGTTGGTCTAGGGAAAAGGATGTAAGTTTTTCAGGATCCTGTTTATCCAGCAGACCCCACACCACCCCCACCCCGCAGCTGTCTGTCCTCTGTTTGGTCTGGAACTTCCCCTTCCTTCCCTCCCTGCTTCACTTTGGGCATCCAGGTCATAGAAAGGATGTATTGGCCCCTGAAACTCAGCATTGCCACTTATTAACTGGGTGGCATCTAACATATCCTTAACTTTCTAAGCTCCATTTTTCTCATTTGTAAAGTGGAGATAATCGCACATAACTTGCAGAAATGTTATGAGAGTCAAGAGAAAGTCATTACATAAAGGTTGGATCCCAAGATCTTCTGGGTGTCAGTGGCTAAGTCTGCTGCTGTAGGGGACATAGGAAGGAGCCTGGTAGCATGTGATGTCTGTTGCTCTGGTAGACATGGCTGAAGGAGGTGATGGCAAAGAGCCCCTTTCCTTTGCCTTTTTTGCTTGAATCTTCAATCAGATTAAACATGGCTTGACGTTTACTCTTGCTCGCAGGTCAGGTCTTTCCAGGTATACCTAAGCCTTGGTCTAAATAATTATATCACATGTTAAAATATTGTATAAAGCAAAGTACCTGATACATCATTAGCACTCAGTGAGGGGTAGTTGGTCATATCTGGACTGGAGATGCAGGAAGAGACTGCTGGAATAATCTTTTTTCCCTTTGTGTTTCTGTTTACAGCAGCAAGGTGGGGGTCCAAAGGTCCTGTGCTAAGCACCCATAATCCTCTAGGGGTGCCACCCAAAAAAACAAAACCCCACCATGTTTAACTTAATGAAAAAAGATAAGGACAAAGATGGCGGGCGGAAGGAGAAGAAGGAGAAAAAGGAGAAGAAAGAGCGGATGTCAGCAGCAGAGCTGCGGAGCCTGGAGGAGATGAGTCTCCGTCGTGGATTCTTCAACCTGAACCGCTCCTCCAAGCGTGAATCCAAGACACGCCTGGAAATCTCCAACCCCATCCCCATCAAGGTGGCCAGTGGGTCTGACCTGCACCTGACTGACATTGACTCTGACAGCAACCGGGGCAGCATCATCCTAGACTCGGGCCACTTAAGCACAGCCAGCTCCAGCGATGACCTCAAGGGTGAGGAAGGCAGCTTCAGGGGCTCTGTGCTGCAGCGGGCAGCCAAGTTCGGCTCACTGGCCAAGCAGAACTCACAGATGATTGTCAAGCGCTTCTCTTTCTCCCAGCGAAGTCGGGATGAAAGCGCCTCAGAAACCTCAACCCCCTCAGAGCACTCTGCAGCCCCATCACCACAGGTGGAGATAAGGACACTAGAGGGACAACTGTTGCAGCATTCTGGCCCAGGCATCCCTCGAGCAGGACACCGTTCTCGAGTCCTTGAGCTGGTGACTAAAAGGTTCCCAGCTGACCTGAGACTCCCCCCAGTGGTGCCTCCACCACCCCCTGCCCCCAGGGAACTGGAACTGCAACGAAGGCCCACCGGAGACTTTGGTTTCTCCCTGAGGCGTACAACCATGCTGGATCGTGGCCCTGAGGGCCAGGCCTATCGCCGGGTGGTTCACTTTGCTGAACCTGGTGCTGGTACCAAGGACCTGGCTCTTGGGTTGGTGCCAGGAGACCGACTGGTGGAGATTAATGGGCACAATGTGGAGAACAAGTCCAGAGATGAGATTGTGGAGATGATCCGACAGTCTGGGGACAGTGTGCGGCTTAAGGTTCAGCCCATCCCAGAGCTCAGCGAGTTGAGCCGGAGCTGGTTGCGGAGTGGCGACGGACACCGCAGGGAGCCAGCCGATGTGAGTTCTTCCCTGAGTACCAGGGGTGAGCAGGGATCTGGGATGTGGGCATTTCATGCAGTTGTACTTAGGCGGATAACTGAGAGTGCCCAAGAGCTGTGGTCAGACCCTAGACAGCATAGAAGTTGGAGGATTGTATCATTCCTTGGGCCTGTAGGGAGAAGTAACATCAGGAGAGGGTGTCCCATGCCAGATGCTTACTACAGGATTCATACCTTTGTCTTCGTCAAGCAGCTAAGTACAACTCCTCAAAGGTTCATTGTGATAGAGTTTTCAATAGTTTCTCCAGGCCTCATGGTTTGATGTTTTCCTCTAGCGTTCTGTTGGATTGACTTGATTGAATTCAGCATAATGCCTTTCTCAAGGGTGTCAGGCAAGAACAGGTTCTGCCTAAACTTTAGCTGTATCCCTGGAGCCCTCAGGAGAGGTTTTTATTGGTTGGTAAAATTGCCATGTCAGTGTTCAGTTTCGTGATATGAAGACGGGTTACAGTTTTGGTCACCTTATGTTCTGAGCCCTAAATTGGGACATGTAGGCTAACATGTGCTACTTTCAGATAGGAGGGACAATATGGACACTAAAAGATAGGAATTCCATGTTTATTTAGATTTTGGAGATAACAGAAAAATGACAAATGATTTCAAATTAGGGCTGAACATTTGGGGTGAAGAGCTGTGTGTACAGAGGAAGTCAGCTGGGAACCTTTTAGTGACCAGCCCTGGGGAAGATGACCTTCTCCAGGGCCTCTTCGTGCTCCTGAGTAGGCAAGGCATTAAATACCAAGTGAGATCTCAGAGTAGCAGGACAAGATCATGGAGGCCCTTGTAAACCATGGTTGGAGTTAGATTTTATCCCACTGAAGTGGGACCATCGAAGAATTTGAAATAGAGGAGTGATTGGGTGTGATTTATAAAGGCTGCAAGAATTTTAGGGGCTGGGGATGTGGCTCAAGCAGTAGTGCGCTCTCCTGGCATGCGAGGCGCTGGGTTTGATCCTCAGCACCACATAAAAAAAAGTAAAATAAAGATGTTGTGTCCACCGAAAACTGAAAAATAAATATTAAAAAAAGAAGAAGAATTTTTATTACTCTCCCAGAAGAATAAAAAGGATGACTCTGGAAAATCAATAGAAATCAAACCTCCAGAGATAATGTATCCTGACTATCCCTGAGATCCCTAACTCTGATCCTGCCCACGCAAAACTACAGAGGAAGGCATGAGAGCAGAGATTTAGATCAGATGAATGGGCAGGTCTCGATGGGGAACTAAAACCTTTAACCCCAGTGGTCTTTTGATGGGCCTGGGGGAGGGGTGACATAGTTTGGAATATCCTGCCTAGAGATAGGCATATCCTTCCCTCCCTGTTGTGGGTTTTAGGACTGTCCAGATCTGGGCCTTGCAGCCTGACCAGTGCACAGCTGGCTGGGACCTTTCAGCACTAAGTGGCCAGCCAGATGTGTCAAAGTCAAAAAGAAGAGGAAGTGCTAAGGAAGCAGGCAGAGTCCAGCTCCAAGCTTTCTCCCAGGGAGAGGAAATGGACATTCAGAATGGCTGTTCAACCTGTCAGTATATTGGGCCCAGAGTGGCAGGGTCATACTCTGGCAGGACACACTGAACTTGGGTTCAGGGTCTTCCTTTACCCTGGGGCTAGTTGGGTTTGGGTAGCTTTGTGGTCAGGGTGAGTAGTGAGTGAGAAGGAGCTTGTGTAGAATCCAGGGGAAGGCCTGACTCGTTCATTCTGAAAGCACACATTGAGCACTTGCTGCATGTTAGCTGGCAAGTTAGACTGAACTCAGGGAACTAAGATTTCGAGGAGGAAGACAAGGGCCTTCCCTTGTCTTCCCCTTGGAAGTCTTAGTTCCCTGAGTTCTTTATTTTTAAAACCAAAGGTTGTAATGCATTGCTATGTCTCTACTTTCTCCCAGGCTAAGATTGCTTTTAACAGATGGAATTTTCTTCTTAAAGCATAAATCCCCCTGGGTGTTGTTTCTAGCTCCCTGCTGAACCACAGCAAGGCCTCTGTGGGGCTCCAGGTTTGACATCCCAGATGCCATTTAGTTCTCTCTCTGTAGCCCAGGGATCATCCTGGCATCTCACATTTCCTAGCCACTCTTCCTTTCCGACTAGCTGCTGCTGTCCCATCCCTGGGGAGGTGGATGGTTTAGCTTTGGAGGCGCCGGTGGAATCCATGTTACAGCTGGTATCCCTGAAACACTGGCTTGCTCTCGCCCCAAGGGGCAAGCCCAGCTGTTACCCAGAGGACTTCTTCCCTAGGCCTCAGCTTGGCAGATCTGGCAGCAGACACAGTAGAAAACTCCATCCCATGTGTCTTCCTGGAGCTATCTGGCAGTACAAGGCACACAGGACTGAAAAAAGCCCTTTCCCCACCTGGGTGTTGGTGAGGACTTGAGCCACAAGCAGACAGAAGCAGAGCCTCAGCATTTCTAGCTTTCTGCGACAGACTTCATGAACTGGAACGGAATAGGGGTAGGGATGGCAGCTCTCCTATGGCCCTCAGCCTCTATCTCTTTCTCTTCCTCCCACTCCGATTCCTGCTACTTTTCTTGGCATCAGTTCTAATTTCAGTTCTGCACCAAGAAAAGAATTTTCTCAGGGCTGGAGCTGTAGCTCAGTGGTAGAATACTTGCCTAGCATGTGTGAGGCACTGGGTTTGATCCTCAGCACCACATAAAAATTAAATAAATAAAAGTGTTGTGTCCATTTAAATCTAAAAAAAGAAAAATTTAAAAAAAAGAAAGAAAGAAAAGAGCCTTCTCACTTCCAGGCTCCTGGTCAGGGTACCCTGATGATGAGAGCTCCACAGGGATAACTTCTGGTGGCCACCCTGCCCATCAGGCAGTTCATCAACTGTGTCCACATGTTGTCTATCTCCAGAGAGCTCCCAGGGAGCTGACCAACTATCTGTTCTCTCTGACACACAGAGGGCGGCCAGGGCTCCACGGCTCCTCTCTGTAGCCTATTCCAAAGGCCCCAGGGAGACACACCCCTTCAGGTTTCCCTCTCACCCTGGAGTGTGCAGAATGCTTGGTTCACACTTTCTTCATGTGTTCCTGTAGCCACTCGATGAGGTTCCATGGGGAGTAGGGGTAAGCCACAGTGATAGGATAGATTCAGGGCCTGACAAATTCTGAGAGAAGCAGTTCTTTCTTCTGCCATCTCTCCTTCCATCTACCTACCCACAAGAGGCTTCACGTACAGTGTTGGGAATGGTCAGCAAAAGCTGCCATCTGCATAGGAGTTGAGTGATAGGAGTCAGGAGGAAGTGGAAGACTGTGATAGACCCATGCCAAGGCCTCAAAGTTGGAGAAAGAAGGACATGTTTGGGGAGCAAGGCATATTTTGGGAAGGACAGTGAATGCTGACAGAAGCAGCAGGAGAGAGAAGCAGAGGCTACCTAGGTCCCTGTGAATTTTGCTGAGGAGTGTGAACTTTAACCCAGGGGCCTCAAAACCATTCCAATCAGTAGGGAGTGACAGGAAAAGAGTTTAGAAAATCTCTCTGCCAGCTTCTGGATAATGCTTGAGGACATAGCAGGGGTCACCATGGGGAGGGCTAGTTGGGAGGCCTTTGAAATAATCCTTGGAGAGCAGATGGAGGCCTCGACATGGGAAGAAGTGGCAGGAATGAACAGAAGTATTTGACTCTGTGAACCAAGGTAGGCACTTAGTCTTGGTGAGTGACTGAGTGATAAGGGGTCAAGTCTACTGCTAGCTTGGTGCAGACATGCTCCTTCTTTCCTTGATTCCTCAGAGAAAGTTTCTGTGGGGGCATCTATGTTTGCTAATTGCCAAGTGTTCCCTGAGTCTGGTGAGGTCAGGGGAGGTGTTGGTAAAGATAAGGATCATAAAACCCAATCAGATCAAAAGTACTTCCTCCAGTTAGTTCCATGAGTCTGGATGGGAAAGTTAAGTCCTACAGTCTGGGCTGGGGACTAGGGACTGGGAGAGAAGGAGGCTGGCCCCTTTGGTTTATAAAGTGGGCCTTTACAATGTCCTATGCTTATTCTCAGTGGACCCATCCTAGGGGACAAGCAAATTGTCAGGGAGTGTAGGATGTTTTTTCTGGAAACATCAGAAAAGACTGTCCACCTAAACCCTGGTCCATGTGGTTGTCCCTTCCATAAAGAGCCAGAGGAGCCAGCCTGCATGGGCATCCTCCCCAGAAAGCAGTGTCTTTCTGGTTTTGAGAATGGGAGGAGTCAGGGGGTTTTAAAGAAGACCATGACTTCCTCCCAGACAAGCCAAGTTTCTGAAATCTCTGATGTGATTGCTTCTTCTCATGGAGCATGGGGTTTGTAGTCAAGGACTCAGGTTCTTTAAAGCTCCTTGTCCACCTAAACTACCTCCACCCTCAGGAGAGGTTGGGAGTAAGCAGATTTCAGTGGAAAGAACATGGGCTTTGGGGCCCAGAAGACCTGCTTTGTGTTTTACCCAAGTTAACTTTTCTGAGCCTCCACATACTCATTTCCTCAATAAACAGTTAATGAAGTCTGCTTATGGACCAGGCACTGTGCTGGGCACTGGGTGATTAAATGAACAGAATGTGATCTTTCCTTGAGGAAGCACAGGACTAAGTAAGACCTGCAACCAGGCACATAGATGCTATTAGAGAAATCTGTGCAAGTGCACAGTGGGACAGGAAGTTGGAAGTAGCAGTTCTGCCCTGGGGGAAATGGTGGCAATAAGGGGAGGCCTCCTAGAGGAGGTGACTCGTGATCCTTATAAAATGGACATATTTTTTTTCTCCTAGAGTTTGAGAAGGTTAAATTGGAGAAGGATGCACACTCATGTCCTATTTCTGAGGATAGAATTGAGGCTAACAGGAAAGACTTCTGTGTATCATATTTTGTGTGCTTTACTTAAGATAAGTATGTTTATGTAGTAGGTGAGATCACTATGTGAGACTGTGGCAGGTGGTATCTTAGAAAGAGCAGGACTCTTTCCCCTGCCCAGCCATCCAAGGAAGTTAATTTTGGGCTTC